CTTGACCTAAGCAACACACGCCCAACAGCCTGCTTGGAGGGATGACAGTCACAGTGCACATGGAGACAGATGTCAGTTCCCATCTGGTTATACTTGGTGCCAATAGGTAACCTTAATCTCAGCATGGTGGCTTCATCCTGGTCATCCTCCCTGCAACTCTGGGTTTTATTTGCTTTCTTTCTTTAATGTGTTTAAAATAGATCATTCCTTTATCCTTACTTAGTTTTATTTATGCATGTCAATTTATTTATTTATGTGTAATCTTCATTGTTGTATTACTATTTAAATTATTACCTGTGTAAAGTGGTTAAGCACGAAGTAAGTTGGCTAAAATCAAATTAAACCTTTTATTCCTGTTACTTTTTTTTTTTTTTAAAGGTAATCAAAAATGATCAATTATGATCAACATCAATGGAAATTAAACATTTCATCATGATACATTTTTCAGCTGTCACCCAACTGTATTCCATTATGATAACTGTCTTTCTCACTGCATGGTGAAAACACACATTTTTTGCCTATACCAGCATAATTATTATTCCCACCCACCGTACTCACCAGATGTGGCTCTGTGAATTTCACTTTGAGGGGAGGACTTCTTCCATTCTTGAGATAATGTCCTCACCTCACAGTCAATTAGCTGCTGCAGGTAAAACTCCTCGTTGTATCAGCTATGCACCAAATGAGCCAAAACATCATGACAGCACACAGATGAAGTGAATAACTCTGAATTTCTTGGAACAATAACATCTGTCAAGTTCTGGGTTGCTTTGCAGGAAGTGAACATAAATGCTCGGACAATTGTGATCCTCCAGAAAGATGATGTTTACAGAACTCTGCACTACAGTGACTAAAAAAAATCAGTAGGCAGCGCTGATGAACTCAGCAGAGTATCTCAGCTGCTTCCAAATTCTGAATCAAGTCAAACTGTGGTCTTTGGACCCCAGTCTGTTTGACAGCATATTTGAGATGTCATGATACCAGAATGTTGGTAGTCATTACCTCTGAAAAACAATTCAGTACCAAAAAGAGGTATAAATCAAATGAACCTATTTTGACAGAAATTTATTTTTTTAAACTGCTGATCACACAGTGTGTTAACACACACACACACCTCTTCAGATGTTAACAGTGTGAACAGCAGTGACAATAGCTACTAATGTTATGAGCAGCACCCGACTCACATAATGAGCCATTGCTTCATCAGATTAAACAAGCCACCATTAACCTTTGTGAATGCTGTCTGTGGAACATTCTTGCAACATGTGCAGCTTTCACAGTTCACAAACAGTAACGGCAACATTTTAGGTTGTGAACATTGTGATGACATGCACGTTTTTGAGCTGCTCAGGTAAGTGGGAGGCCATTCAGATTCTGGCTTTTCATTGTCTATAACTTGTCCCTGATCATCAACTCAAACACTAAAAATCCTAATACAGCACTCCTGGTGTCATGTCTTGAGATGCTGTTGTTGCCACACCTGCCTCCATAATACCTCATGTTGTCATTGTCCAGTATGTCCAGAACCTACAATACCCACAACACCATAGAAAAACAAGTACTGGCTGTAAAATAGAGGAACCTTTAGTTCAGAACTTGTACCTTGTTATTCACAAGGTGTATGAGATACAGTACGATCCTAAATATAGACCCAGCTCCGTACAAAACAAACACATATGAGGTTGATATCAGTCTTCTGTTCTTGCAAAGTGTGTTTTCAATCTGTTGAACTGGTCCTTCACTGAATATTGCAGCTTCTAAGAGCCACAAATGATACTACATAACACAATAACAACCCATTAGACCTCTGCAGTGACCTTTCTGTATCTTTGCTGTAGGCTTGTGGAGCTGGCCCCTCAGTACTTCCTGGGAAACCTTCCCTCGAGTGACGGTAAGGAGCTGCTGGTAGAGCTGAGGCAGAATCTGGAGCTGGAGCAGGACGGGGTGTCACACGAACACAGCAGGGCTCACAGAGACGCTGACACAGCAGGAGAGACTCACAATCAGTCCAGCACTGAGCTCTGTCTGATCCAGTGAGATGCAAGCGGAGGCGGAGCTTCTCAGGGGAGGGACTCTAAACACTTGGCTGTCACTTTATTGTCTGATCTGAGATTTGGTACTTTTTATCAATTAGTCTGTGAAATCTCTTTTTGATGTGAGATTTTTAAATAGATGCTGGAAAACTCTAATGTACAGTAATTTGTTGTTCCTAATATACAGTGGCTTTGGAAAGCGTTCACACTGCTTCAGTTTCTCCATCTTTTGTTGAGCTGTCTATTGAATTTATTTAAAATAGAATTTCAAACACTTCTTCAACATTTCTTTGTTTCTACAAAATGAGTGTCGTCACGAGTCTATTTTTTACACTGAAAAAGGCAAAAAATGGAAGAAGTGAAGGGGATGAGATGTCATTTATGTTTTACACTTTGGCTAAAGCAATATACACGACTTTAGTGAGCTGAGACACTGTTCTAGTTTGACCTTTGACCTCTATGCAGATGCCATGAACAGAAGGCTTCTCAGGGCTCACTGTGATGACTTACTGTAGCAGTGATGCACAGAGCTTCTATTTTCAACTTTTTGATACTGTTTGCATAATGTTTAGCTTCCCTGGTTAGATCCTCATTTTGCTTTTCCTTTATAATAATATCTATGTGTCAGTACAGTGTGAGCTCCAAATAAATGTGTTTTTTCATGTTTG